GACCGGGATTGCAATCCGCGGCTGCGACGCATCGATCTCGTTGGCGAGATCGTCGGCTCCCACTGTGGTCGCCAGATTGTTCGCGTGGAAAACTGTTTTCTTTTTCATTGATATGATTGTCATCTTGGGTTACAAAGATCCGGTCTTTTATAGATCCGGTTACAACTAAATCAAAGAAAGAAGAAAAAAAGTAAAAATTACAACTTTCCTCTTGTGAACAAATCGCAAGCTCCTGTTTTGCGGTTGCTTGCTTGTGTGGGTTCTTTGCCAACGCCGGGGTTAATCCGTGGACCACCGCGCGATCTAGATCCGGTCGGATCTACACGATTATGCGGGTATTATTCCACGAAGGGAATAATAGCCGGGAGGGATTAATCCACCAAGGGAATAATCGCTCAGATCTCGAGATCTAAGACCAAGCTTAGATCTGGAGTGTAGTCTCGTGTAGATCTCAGATCTGTTCTTTCTTCCTCTCGAGATCCTGCCTTTTCTGACGTGGATGGTCGCCGAGGATCAGATCTGTACGTCCAAGTCTTCAAGTCTTCAAAACTCTGAGTTTGCTCTTTAATCCGGCAGAGTTTCGGCTCTTGAAAGTTCGACCTCCGAAAATGAACATCTCTAGGCCTATTTATAGGCTCTCAGGACAGTGCCCGCAAAAAGAGAAATGTCGGCCACCGTCGGCCACTGTCGGCCACCTCTGGGTGGCCGACACTGTGCCGAGCCACCTATGGGTGTGGGTTTTCCGAGTTTTTGAGTTGTGTCCGTTTTCTGGTTTTGTCCGTGATTCGGTTGATTGAGACTCTGATTGGTTGATCTGATTTGGCAGTAAGTCAGATTCCTGATTTGGCAGTAAATCCGCTTCTGAGTTCGAGTCCGAAACTGATCTTGATTCGATCGTGATTCGTCCGAGTCTGTTCTCGGTTGGATGACTCGTTGATTCCTTAACACTTGGCTTGATTCCGAACGCGTATGGATGCAGACGGTGGCAGTGGAGGAGGAGCCAACGCCCTCACCCTCGAAGATACAAGAATTAGAGTTGGAGGCCATTGATCAGAGAGATTTTTGTTAGAATTCTCTTCTGGTGAATTTTCGTAAGCACTAGAACTCTATCGAAGAGACAATGGACACACTATATAACCAAAAGATGAATGGCTAGGATTCGCTGTCTCAAATGGATCGGACGACCCAGATCTCTAGTGGCGCTTCGGGTTCGACGCCCATAAAAGCTTCGCCATTGGGACTCAAAACCGACCGCCCGGATTGAGCACGAGAGGCGAAGCATCCCGTCACTTCATAATTAATGAGCACTAATGCGCCTACATCACCCTAGCAGGCAAGCATTTGGGTCCGCGGACAGACATATGGCATAAACTCGCCTACGTCTGAGTTTTGTTTATAACGCCAACTCGCCAGCGCTTGAGTTTTAGGCCTGCAGCTCAAATTCGTCTGCGCTTGAGTTTTGCCTGCAGCTTAAATTCGCATGCGCTTGAGTTTTTCCTACAGCTCAAACTCGCCTGCGCTCGAGTTTTGCTTGCAGCACGAACTCGCCAACATTTGAGTCCAGTTTTCAACGCAAACTCACCAACACTTGAGTTTCGCTTGTAGTGCAAATTTGCCAGAATTCAAGCGTCGCTTCCAGAACAAGATTCACCACCAGTTTAAGTCTCGCTTACAACACAAACTCGCTAGCTCGACTGTAACACAAGCTCGCCCGGGCCTGAGCTTCACTTGCGGCATGAAATCGCCGGTAATTGAGTCTACCCGTCACATGAGCGAGACGCTGAATGGCTACACGATGAAATTCGGAAAGAGCATGTGTACGACAAGAAAGTGCAAACTTTATTAGATGCTTCTAGATAGTACATTTGAAAAAAGTTATGACTTTATAACCAGGAGAGTCATAACATTACATTTGAGAAGCAAAACATGAAACATAACATCTTGGATCTACTCCTACCCTACGGGTTTATTCTAGGAGGTTGAAAGATGTAAGCTTGGTTCTGACTGCGGCTATCTTCTCCGCATGCATGGCGTGAGCTTTCTCCTCTGCGTCTTGCTGGACCGACGCCTCGAAGGAAGCGTTAGCGATGGCATCCTCCTGAAGCAGCAGTGGGAGATTACGCCTCTCTTTGGCGAGATCGCCTTCCACCGTCTCGCTCTGAATGTGCAGGCCTGTTAAGACTGATTCCCCCTCTGTGCGAGATCGTGCCTAAAAAGATCGAAGAAATGACAGACTCCATGTCAGATTGCAACAGGCGGAGCCGAAGATCCAGACGAGCAATAAGGGCCTCTTTGTCTTCTATGTCTCACCTTCGACACTCTTGTTGCCACATGGCATAACGACGGACAGGAACCAAGAATAGCTTCACTTCGGACTCCAAATCCGCATGTCGCAAGCCTTCCAATTTTGTCAGAAGTAATTCCAGATCGATGAGCCTCATTGAGCACCGTACTCTGAGCATCAAGTTACCCTGGCAACGTAGGCGGGCCACACGGTCCGAGAGGGACTGCTTCAGCTCCGCGTAAGTACCACGATCCTAATCAACGAGCGAGATCACTTGCTTCACGGCGTTCTCCAACTCCTCTAACTGAGTCAGAATGGGGCCCGAAGGTTTAGACTCCGAATCGCGATCAGGAGCAGGAGCCAAAGGAGAGGCATCACCCCCTGCCCTCTTCGCATCAGACGCATTCGCTCGCGGTGCCATCCTGAACAAGAAGAAGGCAATCAACGTGGTGCCCCCTCCGACAAGAAAAGAGGGCAATGCATGACGTACGAACTAAGTACGTGTCCGTCATCTAACGGGCCAAATCAGGCGTGGAGAACGAAGAGGCGCATCACACCGCCTTTAATACGAGATGACGTGCTAATGTCAGTCTATCTTGTGGGCACTCGAGACCACAGTCAGACACGTGGTTACCCCAAACCAGCATTAATTTCTTCTTCGACTTGATTTGGCTATGATCAGAATGCGCCTGTGGCTAAATTTTGTCTGCGGCTTGAGTTCGCTTCTAGTCAGAATCCACCAGTGGTTTGAACTTGCCTGTGTGTAGAATCCGGCTTTAGGATTCGCCTATAATTAAAAGCCCACCTGTAATGGCCTGACAAAGAGAGATAAAAGCCGAAAGATAATAGGCAACAACAGTACATGAACAAACGCATTTAGGAAACCAAAAGAGTGTAACACTCATCCAGTCTTAAGATAGTACGTTTGAACCAAGTTATGACTTCACAATCAAACGAGTTATAACACAACATCAAAAGCAAAATGAAGCAAAATGTCTTAGACCTAAGAACCTAGTCCAACAAACTAAAGGATGCAAGCTCTGCTTTAACCGCGGCTACCCTTCTTGCATGGTCCTCCTGGGCTTTGTCTGTAGCCTCTTTCCGAGCCCGATCTTCAAAACTTGCCCTGGCGGCAGAGTCTTCCTGGCGCAACGTTTGGAGATTTTGAGTTTCCTCCTCAGCGGTCTTGCAGACATTTACACTCTCAGCTTGAAGCCCCCTTAGAGTCGCCTCCACTTGCTCCAGCTCGACTCTCAGATGAGATACGGTGGAAGTGAAGTCACCTATCTGATCTTCCAGTGAGCGCTGTTGACCCACCCAGAAGGCGACATGGGACTGCAGATCTGCTATCTCCCTAGAGCAGACTTCCTGCTCCTAGGCCTCCCGACGCCTATTGCGAGACAGGCGGGGCTCAACATCAACTTCTGAACCCTCTCACAACAAGGTCTCCAGACTCATTAGGCGTGACTCTAGAAAAAGGAGCCTCTGCACATAACGTGTGGCAAGCCGGCGTTCACCCAGCCGCCTGAGATTGGCCACACGATCTAGGAGGGACTATTTGAAGTCGTCATAGGTCCCCATGCTAAGACTGACGAGGGAAATTACCTACTTCACAACGTTCTTAAATTCCTCAGCACGAGCCTGTATAGACAAGGAATCTGAGGAGACAGACTCTTGACCTGGAGCGAGTGCCGTAATGGGTAGAACCTTGAGGCAGGGCTCAGCCCCAGACGGCGGAACAGGGCTTGAGGCGGAGTAAGACGCGATTCCTTCGGATGCATCATCGGAAATTAGGATGGGCTCGGCCGCACGCTCTTTAGTAGTCGGCACTTCTTCCCGAACTACACAACACGATGGCAACACAACAAAAGTTAGAAACAAGAAGTATCGACTTGACTGGCGAAAGCCTGGACGGAAAGGTACCTTCAGTGGTGCTGGCCTCGGTGGCACCCGAGGAGGACCCCCCCTTTCCTTTTTTCAAAGCGACTCTCTTCACCTTCGGCGCCATTTCGAGTGTAACAAGAGGAAGCATAAGTTTTCTCCGGAGAAGATAACAAGGAAACCACAACCTCCCTTAACAAGGGGGAGGGGCGTTAAATACTCATGGCCTGGATGATTGTCTGCTGTTCGATCAGACCGTTCGAAACCGAACAGTTAGAAAGTAAGGCCGAACGGTTTGAGATCCCACGTGAACGGTCGAGACCCGGTAGTTTCTAGACACAATCCCTCACCAACGGCCCAGATCGGGCATGGAGCACGAAGAGGTCCATTACGCCGTCTTTAATGCGAAATGACGTACCCACGTCGTCTTAACTGTCGAGCGTATTAAACGCATGAATTAACACGTGGCCCACTAAGGGTGGAGCCCACCTGGAGCCGAATTCGTCATTTAAACTCATATGATTCAAGCCCGATCAGGCTCGCACACCACTCTGGAATTCGAGTCAGCCCCAATTTCGCCTGCAGACAAAATTCGCCTGTAGATAAAACAAGCCTTCAGTTGCAATCCGCCGACAGCTAGAATCCTCCTGCAGCTAGGATCCCCCTGCGGCCAAACTCTGACTAGTGTGAATCCATGTTGAACAATGACAAAAACAATAAAAAAGGGTGGGGCACACACAAGGGAAATGATGACTAGGAACAAAATGACAACTCCATTCATTAAAAGAGGTTCGAATACAACGGCGAAATCAAAAGCAAATTACAAATCTCTCAGTCACGACTCCACCTCGCGAATCTCCTCAGCGCGCTTGAGCTCGAGCCTCCTTAAAATCTCTCGACGAAGATCTTCCACGGAGAGCGAAACCAAGTCTTGGACGGTGTGTCTGGCCTCCTTGAGAGCTCGGTCCTTCTCCTGAATGGAACCAACGATCAGTTGCCGTCGAGACTCCAACTCCTCTAACTCCCCCATCACCTGTTCACGAGCCTTCTCCTGGTTGACTAGCAAGGCTTGTGCGTTAGCAATGATTTGCTTGGTCTTCGCTATCTCCGAAGACAAGCGAGAGAGGCGGGAGTCAACCTTTTGTTGCTCTAGGCTCACTCGTTCGTTCTCGGTCTTGACATGCTCCAACTCTTCCGCCAACCGTGCCTCCAATGACATTGTCTCATCCAGTCGGCGATCGCTCTCCTCCAGTGCTGCTTGAACCTCGCCGGATGCAAGACGAACGATCTCGGAGCTCATCGCGCAAAGGGTAAGCAGCTATCGGATAGACCACTCTACCTCTTCCAAACGCTTGAAGTACGGATTAGCCGCGGTGGCACCAAGCTTCTTGATCAAGAAGGCCATGTCATAATCAAGGTCCTCCTTGAACTCCTCAAAGGGGCAGCTCTCTTCCAATGCGAGCTTAACACAGTCAGCGAGAGTGTCCTGGAAGTTAGCAAGGGCTCGACCGAAGTGCCAGCCGACGTCACTGGAGTATCAGCCACAATGCCGACGGCCACCAAGGATGAGGAAGCGGTTAGTAGCTGAGTGGGTGTCTCCTCTTGGTTCAGAGACTCTTGTGCCAGTGTTCCACCCCCGACCAACGTTCCTTTAGGAATAGGAATTTCCCCTTGTCGGTCTGACACCCCTTCATGAGCCGACACTTCCTCCTCGCTTGATATCGACTCATGAATCGAGACGTTGTCTTCTGCCTCTGATTCACCCATCTCTCCAGTCATATGGCCCTCCCAAGATGAGGGATCTTCTTTGCCAGCAGCTTTATAGGATGGGC